TGTTTTTTAGGTCCCTTACAAACATATGTACATGAAACGAACACAAAGAACACCCAGACTCAGAACAAAAAATTCGTGGATCACATAAAGTTTTGTCCCATATGGAGATCGAACCCACAACACTCAGCGCAGTAGCAAGCGGCGAGGTGACCGCTTAAACCACTACGCCATCTGTGCAGTCAGAGGGAGGAGGGGGTTTGCTTGGTTTCATAACACTTGGTGTCCGTGTATACTCAGGAAGACAGAAGGGAGAACTGTCCCATATTTCTCCTGTTCTATTGTGTAGTTCGCACTTCCGAGAGGCTTTGCCTTGTTGGCAATAGGTATATCTAAGATGCTCACCAATAGTTCCCTAATGCTATGCGAGAGTCCAACGATATTTATACATTTATTCTATATATTTAGTTGGCCGACCCCACTGAATATACAATTTGACACTTACCAAATTTGACTGCACGGATGGCGTAGTGGTTTAAGTGGTCGCCACGCCGCTTCCTACTACGCCGAGTGTTGTGGGTTCAAACCCCACATGGGACAACACTTTGTGTGATCCACAAATTGTTGTTCTGACTCTGGGTGTTCTTTGTGTCCGTTTCATGTATGTTTGTAAAGTCCCCCGCGACACAGGAATATATATTCCTAATGCGGGCGTTGTCTTTTTATAATAATAGAATAATAGAATAATAATAATAACACTGGTTTTCTGTGAGGCTGTGCGATCACTCCGGTCGAGGCTGTTCATTTATGCCGAAGCATGGCTCTCCTATTATATCATTTACAACATCGTTAATACAATCGTTCTTCAATGAACACATTATTATTAATCCGTAGAATCAAAAATCCAAGTCGATCACACAACTGACTCACGGAAAAATGTTGCCCGAGATATAAATTTGAAACTATCGCACGCGGCCAGAACGTACACAATTGTGTAAAAATAGGCGCAGTGTACCGGCCAATGAGAAGTGTCTGTCATCGGCCCGCAATATATATTGTTCTGAGACTAACAGAGATAAACACACATATTTTTGATAGACCCAACTGGTTTTATTGCCATTTCTATGGAACTAGGTTATTTATGTTTCACCTGCGAATTTTGTAACTAGTGAAGGTTTCGAAATTGTTTTGATATGTCACAGTTTAGTTAAAGAATAGCTCAAAAGTGTGTAGTGTGTGAAACTTATTTGGGGTGGTTAGGGTGTGAATATGTGAGTGCCTAGCTCACCACAGATGTCAGGGATTTTCGAAGAAATGGGTGGAGGAAAATTGAGAAAATGTTCATAAAAATAAAACGACTTTACATCTTTAATCTTCTGTTAATCTAAAAAGCTTTTTAAAGCGTCGAGGTACTTTATTCTAAGAAGAGGCTAATTGTATTTTTGAGAATAAACCAAATAAGTTATAATTTAAGAAGCGTAATAAAAAAATTAGTAGCATTTTTAAATCTTTCAATATATCTCCTACCTAAGGATTTATTTATTAAAAACTGATTATGATGTAAATGTTATTCCTTTAAAATGGGTAAATAATATACTTATATAATATTAAATCCACAAAATAAGTCAACAAAGCAAAACCAAATAAGTATCATCAACAGCCTTTAACAGTCCACTGCTGGACATAGGCCTCTCCTTAGAAAGGAGGTTTTGGCCTACTATACCACGCTGGCCAGACGGGTTGGTATAGGGTTTGTGTCAAGTTTTCCATCTCTCTGCAGTGCTGTTGTCCTGCGTATTTCGCTCCCTTAGTCGCCTCTTACGACACCCACGGGATGAATAGGGGTGGTGACACTCTGTATTCTTAATCCGTCACCACACGTCAACCAAATAAGTACCACATCACAAACAGGAAAAAACATTGCCGAAGTTCCTATAAATATTTAAATTTGTTATTGGACTAACAACGTCAACCAAATAAATTAAATTGTTTGGGGAATCCCCTTATTTTCGACCCCGATCAAAGTCAAAGTAACCTTGTAATGTTGTCGTCAATGGTAAATCATGGCAGACCATACAATATTACCTCACTTGCTTGCAAAGAATTATCAAAAGGTGTTAATAGATTCAAATGTTATAATGAAACACTAGTAACTACACTCATTATAGCCTTGTTTTTTAATGTTTACTTTGAACTGTTGCCAACAACTGTTAGTTACTGTCGAAGTTGGGATATTTCACCTTCTCATAAGGATGTTCTGCATGCATAATGCACGTATCTTTTTTCGTAATCTTGAAATACGTCAAATGCAGAAATAATAAAACGTTATATACCTTTTTTTTCCTTTTTTTTACCCCCTCGGGCCGTCACCCCACCGGGGTTTACGGCAGGGTGGTGCTGTGGAATCGGACCGACTAAAACCACATGGTGTGCCACTCTGCGCCTGTAATAGGAGGGATAAGGGAACTGCTGTTATTAAGACATCCGGACCCCTCCTAGCGCCTGTCCGCAACGGCACGGGCACCACCTTCGGGTACATTCTCTATTTAGGCGACGACCGTCACACGTGGACGTCGCTTCCTCGCAACTTCTTCAAATGCAGAAATAACCAAACGTCATGTACCTGCTAAACCCCATTAAAGAAGAGATCTCTGCGTTGCTTGTGTTATTCATTTTATCATATGATAATGATAAATGAATGATTATACTAGCAGTGTATTGCTTGATGTCAATCCTCATTAAGAATGTAACCGTTTTTCGACAGTACCAGCGCGAAGGACCTAGAGTAACAGATACCCTAAGGCTCAGATAGAAATAGCTCAATAAGCATAATTTTTTAATTTCTTTCCAAAAGCTTTGACTGATTAACCCGCCTATTTGACTAGTTCGGTCCTAGGACTAGGTCGACCCTGACTGGTTCGGTTGCCATCCAGGTCAAATAATTTTGAGAGGAGCACGATCATTGATTTGTTCAGTACACCATAGAACAGGCTCTAACTAGTTTGGGATCAAATATATTATATTATTATTATTATTGGTAGTGTTCCTCTAAGTTCTTCGATGATATGAAAAAAATTATATACATACTCCGTATAGGAACAAATGTTCTTAAAATAATACAAATGTTTTTCATCAAAATACCAACAAGATTAGAAGTTTTGTTGCCTTTACGTAAACACACAGTACCCACTTATATTCTTTTACTATTATTGTTTAAAATAGAAATACTTAGTCATAGTCAGAACCTCATAGAAATATGTACTAACCTACTCCCCGAGTCAATCCCTCATCGCAATAGAAAACATATATAATTATTTGTAGGAACTTAGCTGGTCTTTTTTAAAGGTGTGCCCGAAAATATGTGAACTGCGACAAAAGTAAAGGAATTTTGTTTGATTTTACTGAATTGGAAGCATTTGGTAAACTTATGCGATTTTTTCTAAACGTGATCTTATTTTCAACATAAATTAGAATGTTCTCAGATATTGAGAGAAAAGTTAATGCCAGCGCATTTAGATTGTTTATAGAATATTTAATAGTAAATGATTTACAAGTCTACATAATGAAACCCCGACTACAAAAAAGTAATTTAAAAGTAATGGACTAAAAAGACCGAAACAGCAAGAGGACCGACACAAACATGGCCCTTTTTATGCTATCACAAACTTTTTAAACCAATTTATAATTCATTATTAAATTCAAATATATAATCTACATATTTTTTTGTAATCCCCTTTTAATTTTCTTGATTTTGATAGGTTAGATTAATTTGTTTTATTAACCTATTTTGCGCCAAAAAGCCGCCATTTTTTTTCTTTCAAAAAGCCGTATAAAAGCACTAAGTTTTTGAGATGGATGAAACATTACCTTAACAGTAGAAATCTAAAAAAAAGAATTTTATAAACAAACATAAAGGATACGCGCGAAACATAACCATCCTTGGCAGTCGGATAAAAAAGACTGTACGTGTGGTGAAGGATTCAGAATATGGAATGTCACAACCCCTATTCATCCCGTGGGTGTCTAAAGAGCCGACTAAGGGAACCCCACAACAACGCAGGAAAACATAAATGCAAAGAGAAGGAAACGTGACACAAACCCTATAACAACCCGTCTGGCCAGCGTGGTATAGTAGGCCAAAACTTGTTTTCTAAGGAGAGGCCTATGTCCAGCAGTGGACTATTAAAGACTATTGATGTGATAATGATGTGTGATGATGTCAGAATAACGACATTTGTATTAGAGTGACATTTAATATGTTACTTGCTCGTTTCAGTACTCATACCAGCGTGATCCTGGGTCAGGGTGTTACGTGTCAATAACATTATTAATACTACAGGAAATTTGACATCCTATTCGGTGTTTCACTGAATGACTCAATCAGATTTAAACCTGTGTATCTAGACAATTATTGTGTAAGAGCGCTGTATAATTTTTCGTTTCTAGTATTCATACTAGTCAGAGACAGCATGCGCGAGCGTTGGCGCCTGCGCAGCTACGAATAGCCGCGACCTTTGTCGCTCCTGTCCACACTCATTACAAACGTTTATACTCTCTTTAACATTTAACCGCTTTTTGCTAATGGGCTGACAGAAAGATAAAATTTTCGTAAAATCAAATCCAAAAAAAAACATGTTTGGATTTAATGGATTATGTTAAACTCGTATATTAAATAAGCTAAGAAGGGAGATAGAAAGACAATCCGCTTTGGTGTAAAGAGAAAAAACTGGGATTTTTAGGAAAGTTGTGCTTACCTTCACATGCAAGAGCAATAGCACTAGGGACATAGTGTTATACTTCCACTGCTGAGTATTATCAACAGAAATTCATTAAGTTTCCCTTGACTAAGTCGATAAGATTTTCAATGCATACGATATACTAATATTAAGGGTATTTATTGGCTTCATTAAAATACACCCGAGATAGTAGAAGCGATGATACTCAACGATTTTCTCTTCTGTGTTGAAAACAGAAGTATTGAAAAGAGATCTTTACGTTATTATTCATCGTTAACCTAAAACTTGAATAATCTAAAAAGTCTATACTAAATACCATTGTTTCAGAATCCACGCCTAGTGGCAGCGTATTCGGTATCCCCCTCGCGCAGTGCGTTGAGAGCGAAAGAGCCCTCCGCCGACAGCAGCACGGGGGCTCCAGAGCATCGCTGGCGTCACTCGGCGCCCTTGAAAAGGGGGATGATGTGAGTGGTATTTATTGCCTTCTTTCTTGCTTGCATTTACCTTGTCTTACACAAATTACCCATCAAAATATGAAATCAATACTTTTAACTCTATACGAATCGAAAAATAACAAAAACGCGATTCTATATATTGTTAGTTAGAATAGTGCAGTTAACTAAGAAACGCCTCAAGGAAAATAATAAACACTTTTAGTGTTCACTAATTTAATTTCAAGTGCAATTAACATTGTTTAAAAATCTACTGGAAGTCGTTCAGTACGAGATGTTGAACCGTTAAACTCATGACAAGAATAAACATTGCCAGTAATAAGGTCTAAGTACTTTTATACATACTACAACAACACATGCGCAGGACTTATACTTATGACGGATAATGTTAATTCAAACATATTAATTCAATTAAAACAAATAAAATCAATTATTCCGCCAATCAAACTAATTACATCCAAAACTAAACTATCAATAAACTAATGAATTAAAACTCAGTCACTAATCTTATATCCGAGGGCTATTTATACTTTCAACCAGACGACAATGCTAGCAGTTCTACATAAACCATTATAACTCGAGCCTTTCAAAACTTCCACTAATCCCCTGTACTTTCTGCTAATGTATACCTTGCGGGAGGTGCAACAGATCTAGTTAAGTTGGTCTCACGTTTGTCACTATTCGAGCGCGCAGAAATAGTTTATGCGCTTGCGCCAAGACACGTTAGTTGTGACGCGACAGTGCACCTGGGCCTATCCACCATGCAACCCATTATTTTTCAACCAATAACACTTACAATACGATAACTACCTACTAAATCAAGACTTTCACTATTCAAAATTCGTTCGAAATTCAGTTCCGGTCTACTCTTGATCTCTAAAATATCATAAAAAGTACTAATACAGTTCTGGAAATAAAAACTCACTCCTAATAATTACTGCAGAATCAATTCGTACAGCTATCTAAAGACTTTTCTATTCAAACTTGATATTTCTATTGTTTTCTCTGTAATTAGTTCACACTTATAAGAGTAGGGACGTATTCTGGAGTGAAAAAGCCTGGGACTATTCCTTCAAAAGATGATAATCCTGGATCGTTAAGAGAAGCGTGAGTAGGATCTTGAATGGGCGTTTACCGCCTTATTTAAAAATTCTTATAGTGTTGGATAGCCCATTTATCGAAGAAGGCTATATAAGATCACGCTATGACCAATAGGAGATCAGCATCAAAGAAAAATGTTGCAAAAACGAGATAAACTTATTCCTTTTCATTAGAGTGCGAGGGTCATCTAGTATTCTCTATCCAAATATATGTTGACTAAAAACTAATCTACAGGAATTTTAGAAAATAGTTCCATAATAAAATTTCCGTTATTAAACCTCACAAAGTTGCAGAAAACCCATGAATCCATGAAACAATGTGGCTAATGACATGTTATAAAACATTACGTTTGCGAATATTTCACGTGCTACGCTATTTAGTTTAAACTTCTCGGCACAACAGAGAACACATAAAATTATGTTTAAACCAGTCGCTTTGAAATGGATAATTATCGATAATAGTTTATGTTCCATGTTTACATCTTATGTTAAGATAAATAATCCGTAAAATATTGTTGATGATTTAATTTTGTTGGGTGCTAGAGGGGTTCGTGTTTATGATCTTACGAAATTAAGAGTTTATAACTCTATCTAATAGTTAGTAAACTGTTACATAGTGTAAAATTATCTATTAGCAATTCTATTGCTTCTTTTCACCGAATGAGTGAGTCTCACTCCCCTTGATTTTAGGGGGAGGGCTCAAAGCTTTGTAACGCAGTTGTGACTCTAGAGTTGCAGATGTCCATGTATTACTTACTTACCATCAGGTGCCCCGTCTGCTCACTTGCCCTCCAATACCATAAAAAGGATATCTAAAATTTTAGTTGTATTACTTAGACTACTTAGACTTCTAAAGCCTAGTTACCTGTCCAATCGCAGGATAGACAACGGGTATGCATCCTCTTCAGAGTACTGAAATCTCATGCCGTTTCGTCATCCGAGTCTTCCAGTTTCTCTTACCCTAGCTCCCTCGCCCTTTTTATTTTTCCCCTTATTTCTTCTGCCTGAAAACGATTACATTCCCAAGGAATTTCGACGTCACACTAGCGATAGGCCATGAAAAAAAAACTGGCTACAAGCCTTGGCAATACTGAACATTGCCCCGAAGCAAAATAATTTGGAAGAAAAAGAAAAAAGAAATTAGCCAGAAAAAGTACTGTTCTGGAGGTTTTTTTTACCAAAACCTAGTTGATAAGCTGCAGATGTCTTTGACCATAATCAAGTTATTTAAAACTAATATCAGCAAAAAGAGACGTCTCAAATCATAATGGATCTCCATTTGCATAGCGACAGAATACCATAGAATAACAGAAGTCTTATCCATTCAAAACTGCCCACTCAATGCTAAATTCAATATTCACCTCAACAACAAGTTCAGTTATAAATCAAATTGAACCAATAATGACATCATTGCGCAGACGCACGACCAGACAACAAGCGAACTGTAGGCGATTCGCGTCGATATGACACATGCCAACCACTGCAACAGTTCACTATGACTCAATAAATCTTCGTAAATACTACCAGCTTGTTGATAACTGTCGGTCTGATGAGTAAACAACGTATTGAGATTTCTAGAGTAACGTAAATGCAGTGCGAATATGTTCGTACGAAAATATGCGTGGTATTTACGGTAGCAGTTGAATTTCAACGCATCAATCTTTGAAGAATTGTCTTCAGATAAGTAGTTACTTTTTTGAAGAATTATTAGCATCTATAAACATAAAAGCGAAAGGATACTCTCGGTGATTCACTGATTAATTGCCAAACAACTTTAGGCGTATATGACAGCAAAGAACGGATTGAACGGCAGGGCCAAATAAAAGAGATCTAAGTGCTGGTCAGAGAAATGTCCACGATTTTGTGTGACTGCTAAAAACCAGAAATTTGTCAGAAAAGTGCTTTATATGTATGTTGGACACGGAAGCGAAGAACAGATTTTACGACATGTCCAGAGAAAGGAGACTTAAGAGCTCTAGCATTGCTACAGGAATGTCTTTGGTATTGTGTGACTACTAGATTTTAAAAATGTGGGGAGAAAGCAGTAAATAGATAGGACATGATAGCAAAGAACGGATATTACGACAGGTCGAGATAAAGGAGGCTTAAGAGCGTGGTATAGTAGGCAAAAACCTACTTTCTAAGGAGAGGCCTATGTCCAGCAGTGGACTATTAAAGGCTGTTGATGTGTGATGTGATGATATGAAGAGCTCTCGCAGGGTTATAGGAAAGTCCTTGGTTTTGTGTAACAGAAACTTGGCAGGAAAGTAGTTTATAGATAAGACACTGTACTAGACATTAAAGAAAATATTTGTTACAAAATTACACTTACGAAAATCTGAATAATACTTCAACGTTTATCTGCCGTGAGGTGGGAGAATACTACCAAGGGTAATGAAATAAATCAAACCTACCATAGACATCAGGAAGAGTTTAATAATAATTTATTACTCTTTAAACGACTGATGAGGCATATGGAATAACAATATCCTTTTTCTTTTACTATGTGTATTTCTCTTTGAAGTTACGAGTCAGTTTCGATACAGCGGCACGGACCATCCATAGACACTTATCAAACTTTTAAAGATAATATAACTTTTAAACAAAAAAAAGTTGAGACAGAAAGAGAATTGTAAATTTACTTTGTGCTCAATGTTCGTGATGGCTACTACAAATAATTTTCAGACTCTGTAACCGTCATTAAAGCACCAAACCTTTTGTTATTTAAAACAAATACTCACGAACCCACAAGGTAAGCAATTTCAAACGAATTTATTATAGACTTAGTTATTTTAGGACAGGGTATATATAAGCGAGTACGTTGATCGCGTCATACGATAATTTTATCGCGGCCTTAATCACGAGATGGTAAGGCCGGGCAGGTAATCGGACACCTGTGACGTCATACTGAAACGTGTAACCCATTGACACTGACTTTTTTTTAACGACACCAACAAGGTTTTGCTTTGTTGCATTTTATTTCGGGCTCATTTAAAAAAAGAACAAGGAAGTTTCGCTGGTTTCGCGAATTTTATTTTTATTTTTAAAATGACGAGAATATTTTGAAATAGGAATGTGTTAACTATGTCACAATGTTAAATGACTGAAAAACTTAAATAAATAAAAATAAATTAAATGAATAAATATTTCATCTTAGTTTAAAAATGTTTCATCAAAGTTAGAACCCTTTTGTATTTTGACTAAAATTTCAAAGCCATAACCAATTTGTGGATATAATTATAAGATGTAACTAAAAGTAGGTTATCGACGAGGATGGGATTCGAACCCACGCGTGCAGAGCACATTGGATTAGCAGTCCAACGCCTTAACCACTCGGCCACCTCATCACTTACGTTTCTCGTCTTATCCTAACCTCTCAGAAATAACGCGTTAAACCAAACAAACAAACTCTTTAGCTGTATAATGTTAGTAGAGACTGATATAAATGACTGATTTAAGATGACCTTATGGGCACCACCCAAATCTATCCCCGGTCAACAGCAGTAACCGTATACGAACCCGTCGGATCAGCATAGTATGGTAAGCCAAAACCTCCTTTCTAAGAAGAGGCCTATGTCCAGCAGTAGACTATTAAAGGCTGCTGATGTGATGTGATGTGATCTAAATGTATACTACACTAAGAAAATTGTGTTCTCAATAATATATTAAGCAAGATTATATATAATATATAGCTTATATATATAATAAATACTTGTACAGCGAAGCACGCAAGAGGCGTGCTTCGCTGTGGCGCATTGTGAAAGCTATGAAGAACAAAGCCGCGCGAAATATAGATAAAAACAATCTTAGAAGCGCCTTGTATCAATCAACCAATCAATCAAAATTTGAGCGCAACCGGTGCAGACCTTTTTGAGTTTTATAAATTATCTCTTAAGGTTTAGTAAGCGTTTGCAATGTAAGCGCACAAAAACTTGTTTATTACGCCAAATCTTTGAAATCCTCAGATTTTTTCTACTATAATATGCGAATATTATACAAATAAAAGTTCCTCTTGAATCACTCTCTCTATTAGTGAAAACCGCATCAAACCCGTTGCTTAGTTCAAAAGATTTAAGCGTACAAAAAAAATATAGTGTGGTTTTATGAAACCATGAACTTTTTTTCGGATCGGTCAGCTGATGTGAGCGCCGCCATATTAGCTGCTCTGACCCCTACTCCGCGGCCGGCTGTAATGCGACATGCGATAAATGGACGAAAAAAATTAAAGCGATGTAAAAAAAGTTTCACTTTAAAAAAGCTACTTTATGTTATACTATATAAAGAAGATAATCAGTCGCACATACATCTACTCAACATATTTGATAGGAAATTGTTTTTTATCTTTTGTTTAATGACAATGATGACATAGAGAGGGAACGGAGGGCGCTGCCAGTAAGGGCGAACATGATAGCTCGCAGGTTTGCACGTTGCTCGACAGCAGTCAAACTAACACTTTTTAGACCGTATTGCACTTCATTTTACACGTGCAGCCTGTGCGTCGTACAGTGCCAGACCAATATAATAACGCCTTCAGGGTGCTGATGGGGCTGCAGCATTTCTTTAGAGCATCGGGGATGTTTGCTAAATATCACATGGATTGCTTTTACGCTACGATGCGAAAACGCTGCTCATCTCTGCAGCGCAGGGTGAGCGTCAGCCTCAACAGTATCCTGAACATGATCTCTAGTCGGCTGGACTGTAGATACATCAATTGTTGCTGCGCAATTGCGTACGGAATGTGGCGCAGCAATGATTGTTGTGAGTCTCAGAATATGTGTTTCTTATGTATGTCTACTTTTCTTTGTTTTGTGGTTTGTTTTCTATATATACTGTACTAACACTAGTCTCTAAGAACATTCTTACCAACAAGATGGACACCATGGTCTGAAACAAAGAGTTATTTTTCAATTAATAATGGTGTTTTCTGTGATTTATTCAAATCAAATCCGGTGGTAAGTCGTTTATCAATCGAGCGATAATGAAAGTAGTTGTTCTGCCGCCATGTACATATTTTTAGCTCGTTTCGTGCAATACTTGCATTTACCTAAATCAAATCAACATCCAATTAATACCTAGGTACATTCATTTGCATGAATATCGTAGAAAGTTCATCACATTCTGCCACAAGTGGCGTACTAATCTTAAGTTAAAAAAAAGAAAAAGTTTTGACACAGGCAATTTAATGAGTAGGAGAAGAGATCTATTATTAGAGACTGTCATTGAAATACATAATCATTAACATTATAATAATAAAACAGATAGCATTTTTTTAATTTCTTCTAGCCTCAAGCTAGGCTTTATGAATTTAATAAACAGAAATACTGCAACGAACGACAACTCTCTTGTTACCCTAAACTATACAAAAAAAGTATTTTCTTAATATCAATCGGTATATTAATAGAACTTATCTTGCACTTTCAGAGTGAATCTTGCGATTCTGGAGAATGGGGATGGGCGGGGCTCGAGGAGGCTGGCGGTGGAGGCCCTAAGGTGCCTGGTATTGTGTCAGCCTGCCTCGCGCACCTGCGGAGGCACGGCATGCATACGCTCGGCCTCTTCAGGGTGTCGTCTTCCAAAAAGAGAGTCAGACAGGTAAGCAATTCTTGCTATTTCTAAAACTAACACAAACGTATATTTTCCTTATATCTAACACACTACGCTATCTAGTTATAAACTTGTACTATGAAAGCTAAATTGAGTAATAGAATACTTCTATACTTTTTTTGTAAATAAATATCCAAACTCCGAAAACAATATTTGCAGATCAAACAAACATTCTGTCCGACCCGGGAATCGAACCCGAGACCTCAACTAAGCAGACGCATACGCTACCACCGAGGCAGTCAACATATAAAGATTTATGATGTTGGCGAATTGTTAAAAGTAAAACAATTCAGTTCCGATCAACTTTCGATCTCACAATTGTCATAAAATGTATTTTCGTAGTAAAATAGTAAAGTATTACTAAGACTAGCAGATTACCGATTAAATTTTCGGTTACAATATGATATAATCACATGACAATCAACGCTGGATGTTTAATACTTTACTACAAAAATACCTTTTTAAACAGTTGTGAAATCGAGTGTTGATCGGAATTGTGACCGAACTTTCATTACGAGAATTGGCCTTCAGGTGAGAAGTCTACTCATTTGCTCCCGACACTATAGAAAAAAATACGGACAATTACGAGTCAGACTCGCCCACCAAGTGTTCCGTACTATAGATACAAAATACCATAAATAGTTCAGGAATCTAGTCTCACAGTTATTTTTAAGTTTTTCCCGAAATTCAGTTTCCAAGACCTATAATCAATTCTTATATCAATACCAATATTATAAATACGAAAGTGTGTCTGTCTGTCTGTTACCTCTTCACGTTTAAACCGCTGAACCGATTTAAGTGAAATGTACTAAATGTACTTTAAATAAAGACTATAATTTTTATGATTTAATTACAAATATATAGTTTTCAGATTTTCCCGATAGTTATAACATAAGATGATGTTAGTTGCCAAATTTCATAATTCTAGGTAAATGAGAAGTACCTTATAAATTTTTATTAACTTGAGAGTGTCGAAACCGCCGAGCCGTTTATGCCGCAAAAAACGCATGTTGTTGTATGTTTGATTTTTTCACAGTTTCAAAGGACTGTTCCTAAGCACATGGTTTTAATTTCAACTCGATACCTCCACGCATTCCCGAGGGGTCTTAACAGACAAACGGACATACAGACAAACGGACAAATACATTGATCCTATAATGGTTCCGTTTTTTTTATTTATTTATTTATAACTTTATGCACATTTGTACATCGGCGGACTTAATGCCCAAGGCATTCTCTCCAAGTCAACCTTTACGTAGTGTAAAAATCCTGAGTGGTAGGCGCATATATGTTATAACACTAATCACTAAGATATACGCCACACAACACAACACACGTAATTTTAAACACAAGCACACATAAATATACACATACATACACACATATACATATACATACACATATATATAAATACACATACACACACTATACATATATATGTATCTACACACATACAGATATATATTATCACTATATTCGTACACCATGAGTGTAAGCAAGTTGGTTGCTGCACTCTCGATTCGATGATTCTGCCGTCTCATTAAGAAGAAGGTTGTGTACGTGTTTTTTTTTTTAATTTTGAATACGGAACGGTTTGCGGACATCCTGATTTCAACCGGGAGCGCATTCCAGAGGAGAACTGCTTGAACGAAGAACGAAGAGTTCACGAAGTCGGAATTGTGAGAATTTTTGCATAAGAGAAGCATTTTTTTTTGCGTGGCGTGGCGACCGCTTAAACCACTACGCCATCCGTGCAGTCAAAACGGTTTACGCTACCGTAGAGTATTTCCAGATTCCATTCGTGATTAGACGACAAGAAACGGAGGTAGGGTGCAAGGTATGTAGGTGAGGATGGGAAGGTAAGAAATGAATATAAAGAAGTCAGAGCTGGCTGATTGCGGCGCAGGCGAATGGGTAACCAGTTTAGTTGGGAACGTAAGGCAGACACGTGGTCATTTTCATTTGAGTTCGATAGGCCAAAGATCTACGATTGGCTAGATCTCTTAGCGTTACGTAGAGATACCTTCACTCTGCATTTTCTTTCGTATATATCACGAAGATTGCTCCAAGTAATTGTTGGGACTAGTACCGGCCGCAACTTTCCGCCATCGTTATACACGGCAAAATTTTCATCCCCACCACCTGGATAATTGGCACTGTGCACTTTTCGAGACACTTTTTGTCTCACACAACTAATCTGTGCAACAAGTTATCGTCTGCGATATTTCCGAACCGATACGACCTTCAAACCTATAAGAAAAGAGCGTACTTTTTCTAAAAGGCCGGCAACGCGCTTGTGGCTCCTGAGTTGCAGGCCTCATGGGCGGCGGTAGACATTTTCCATCAGGTGACCCGTCTGCTCGTCTGCCATCTCTTACATAAAAAAAAGTTACGGAACCCTAAAAAATAAACAAGTATTCATTCGACTATATTACTGTCTCGTCATCTGCATCGAAGCATCCAAATAGAGTGTGATATCACATCGCTTATCAGTTAAATCTAGTGATGAAAATAGTTTGAAAGCATAGTTGATTGGCACGATAACAGAGTCTGGCTTTAGTGGCCGCTCTATTATTGGAACACACCTATTTGATTCCGATGATCTCACAGTCTAAAATTTCTAGACAAGGTCTTCATTTTGAAGGTACAAAGTTATTGTTATTATAAATATTCATAAAGAATGTTCTGAAACCGTAAGCTTTCGTACGTTTTCCGAGAATCTATTGAATTGACTTCATTGAAAACTGTAATAGCAAATAGTACGACCAAATTTTTGTATATCAAAAATATTTGTATATTATCTATACTAATATTATAAAGCTGAAGAGTTTGTTTGTTTGTTTGAACGCGCTAATCTCAGGAACTACTGGTCCGATTTGAAAAATTATTTCTGTGTTAGATAGCCCATTTATCGAGGAAGGCTATAGGCTATATATCATCACGCTAAGACCAATAGGAGCGGAGCACCAATGAATGTTTCAAAAACGGAGAAAATGTATTACTATTGAGAGACGCAGACGAAGTTGCGCGGGTCAGCTAGTAATTAATATTTTTAAACAAACATAAAACTGTCGTACCCTGTCCTCTGTCTCTATTAAGAAATTTTCAACAATTACGCTCTACAAAGTTTATATTGTATGTCTATTGTTAAATGTTTTAAATATGATGTATATAAAACTATACAAATCAAAATATTTTCAAAGCAACAATCTTAAGGAAGTAAAAGTGATCTGAACAATACTTGAATTATATTGATTATTATGATACTGTTTGTTTGATATGCAAATATTTGTTTCGGAGTTTGGGTGTTTTCTATGTATAATATATAATATGTATTTACAAAAAAAAACGAACATAAGTATTCTATCAGCCAATCTAGCTTTCATAGTGTCAGACGTCCGACAATATTATTTTTATTGTTATTATTATTAGGTTGAAAGTTAAAGAAAAAAAGAAAAGAATAAAAGCTTTATTGTAGCAACTACGCACACAAACACTTAAATTATACAAGAAAGAATAAAAATAGCAAGGAAATAATAAAGTTGTTTTTTTTTTCAAATTCAAATAATTCTTATCTTCCAATCATTAGAATACAAAAAAAAGTATTTTATTACACATGGTGATGATCAAAAATTTCACTTAACAACACAAGACGAGTATATCATTCGATTCTCCATACAAAACATACACAAAAGAATACATTAAATTATTAACCAGGGAAATTCTAGTTACTTGGACTCTTTTACCCATTCTAAAAGCAGACACAGATCCCAAACTAGTAATACAGCAGATAATGGTGCTAAGCAGATAATGGTGGTAAAAAAATAAAAATAGGCTAGTTGACTCAATTTGAAAACTTGGTTAATTATATACTTTAATATATATTTTATCCCAAAAAACCTATATTTTTAAGAAAAAGCAATATTTACATTACGTATTTTGTATTTAAAAAAAAAAAAAAATTTAAATTTCCCCTTAAAACGCTGAATAGTGTCATGGCGTCTTGAATGACGTCACAGTCTGCGAAATAAAACTGTTTACATCTGAGTCCAGTGTCAACTGTTTTCTGAAAATGAATAAGGTATAACCTGCTCTATTGTATGAAAACGTCAACAACAACAATGATGTTTTGCGTGGCGTGACGTAACAATTTCTGATTGGTGTTCGCTGTCACGTGATTATTTACGAATATACGAATTTACGTTTTAAAAATATTAATAATCTTTAACTTTTATGAGAAATAGACTCGTTTTTTCTTATCTATCTCTATCTTTATAATTTGAAACTATTAACCAAGCAATTTGTTATTAGTGGACTATTCTCTTGTTCGAAAACTGTCTAAACTAAACTAAAAATCACTAAAAATAAATTAAGAATGTTAGTAAAGCCCAACAATGAGAAAGTAACTGTCTGTCTGTTACAACTTCACGCCTTAACTGCTCAACCGATTTTAATGAAATTTGGCATGAAGATACTTTTATTCTTTACTTTTTCCCACGATAATCGACACACGCGGACGGAGCCACGGGAAAAATCCTAATTTCTTATAATTTAAATATCACATAGTAAATATTGAAGTTTGCTAAACACTAATTAACACAAATAGTTATATTCAACAGCCAGCTCGAGTTATGTGCTCCGGCCCTGCTCGAGCCATTGCGTACACTTCGCGGTGAACCATTCCTTTGCATGCCTTTCTTCCTCCTCTACCTTTCTCTTTTCATACACTTCCAATTAAAATGTCCAAGATTGATAGTGCGTGGGTGAAAGTAAATTCTTCCCAAAATGCCTTTGTCCGTGCCTTCGAGGAGGCGTAAGAGTATATTATGTATGTGAAATCAAGAAAATCTAGTGAATAAAAAAAACAAGTACGTGAAACTGTATAGGTACCTTCTTACTTAAAATTAACAAACCGGCGACCTTAATTTTTTAAATTTTAATATACTACGGGGTCTATGAAAATTATAAAAATTACACTTTTTAGTCACTCACAATTATGACGAACCAAACGACACCTCCCACGCCAAAATCCATCAAGCCGTTTATTTAGACTACAAAGTGTGACATAAATACGTACACTCGAAAAGCATAACCCTCCCTCTGGAGCAAAAAGTAGTGCAATACTTGCGGCAAGTCTATCTTGGTCCACGAACAATGTTACACCAATAACACTTAGAGTGGAAGAGTGGCCAAAGCAAAGCTAAATAAATAAATGTGGGTCAACGGGGCCGTCGATTGCAACAACCAATACGTTCATGAAAACATCTAATTCCGTCGAAACGTGTTTTACTCATACGCGCAGTGTGTTGATGTGGAGTCTGCAAACAACTGCCGAATTGATTTACTGTTGGTAACCCTGTCATAGTAACAATTGAGTAAAATTACGTCTGTATGGTCTTTCCTTACATAGTATAAAAGGAGCAATTGCATATTGGTATGATCTGTTTAATCTTGAAAACTACTGAAAAGTGATAAGATTTTTACCGTAATAGTAAATGATACTATAAGACAAATACTCCAACTGTGGAATAAATCCCCTGCAGTGGTCTCCCTAGATACTGCACTAAACAGAATTACAGTAAAAAAAAGTTAACAAAGAAATCAGAAAATAATAACCATTAGAGCACAACTCACATTTTATAATTAACTGTAATATATATATATATATACGTATATAAATGTAGTATATAATAAATGGTACATTTAATGAATGAAATAATTTGATTATGTTCACTCAAAATTATGTTATTCAATGTTATGTAATGGGGTTCCTGGAGGTCTATAGTACAGGCCCCTTCTTAGTTTAGACTCCAGATCTCTCACAACTTACGAATTTCTTGACAATTTTCTTGTCAACTGTATATTGTATAACATAATGTAAATGTGGAGACGAAATAAACGTTTTTATCATTATTATTATTATTTAAAAAACATTAACAGAAGTGATCAACCGGGGTATTTTATTGAAGAATGATTACACACAATGATTGATATCAAAACTCAAGTCTGATATTTTTCAGTTGCGCGAAGACTGGGAACGAAGTCATGATGCAGCGTTAGACGCAGCCGTGTCTCCACATGATGTGGCCACACTACTCAAAGAGTTCTTGAGGGATTTGCCCGATCCCCTCCTCTGTAGAGACCTGTACCCAGCATTTTTGCAAACACAAAGTGAGTATGCATATCTGTCCAAATTATATCAACCATCATTAACGGACATGGTACTGCTTCTGTTTCAGACATGATAATTGTCCCTGTTCCCTTGGAGTAAACAGGGTCTGGACAGGGGTTAAAGTTAAATGAGAACGTTTATATGTTAATGTTTCATTTTTCACGTAATACTCAAATGTAACAACAAAACATTTGCATTTGCGGCGGAGAAGGAAAATTACCTCCCCTAAACTGTCCTATGGACCCTGAAACTGATAAATGAAATTGTACGGTTTCAGAAATCCACAACCGTCGCTTCCAGTGGGAAGCTTTGCGTCTGATCGTGCAGCTACTGCCGGCGGCGCACCGCGACACGCTGAACGCGCTCCTCTCGTTTCTCGCGCAGCTCGCCGCGCACTCCGAAGACGACGACGAGCTCGGCAACAAGATGAACGCCGCTAACATCGCCACCATCTTCGCACCCAACATACTCCACAGGAGTAAACCCAATGAGACAGCGAGGTACATACTTTTGGATTTAAAAAGTAAAAAATAGACTGAAACATAGGCTGTCCGTGTGGTGACGGATTAAGAATACGGATTGTCACCATCTGTATTCAACCCGTGGCTAAGAGCCGACCAAGGGAACAAACTACGGACAAGAGCCAGTGCTCTTGTCAAGAGAAAGAAAACATGAAACAAACCGTATACCAACCCGTGTGGCCAGCGTGGTATAGTAGGCCAAAACCTCCTTACCAAGGAGAGGCCTACATACGTCCAGCAGTAGACTATTACAGGCCTTTGATAATGATGTCACATAAGTACCACAAATGTTTTAGGGTTGAATTGATACAAAAATCGATGATTGTAAGGTCTGCTAATAAATTAAGTGAAATATTTAAATAAATATAATAGGGACTTCAAATAAATTGTAAAAGGTAAAATTCTAAATTGTTGTGAATAATGGAAGAAAGTTACTATCGTTATAATAAAATAAGTCCTCTTCATTTAGTAGAATACTTGAATTAATTGATTCTGCTACAACCAAAACTAAGTTTTTGTAACAACGTGTATATCTAATTTTCAGTGTAGAACAATTATCAGAGCGAGCAGACGTGATCAACGTAGTCCGGCAGCTTGTGGAACGTCAGGGCGAACTGTGGACGTTACCTGCAGAACTTCTCCACGAAGCCTACATACACCTGGCACACACGGCGCCTGCGCACCTCGACTCTTTATTATTGAGGAGAGCCGAGTAAGTCTTCTTGGATAATTTTTTCAGAGCACACTGAGAAGACATCAACTACAACCAACAGCACTGGTAGAAACCCACAACTAACCATAATTCTTATGCTAGGTATCCCCTTGATGTAGCTTCATGGACAAACGTACGTTTTTATATAAAAAATGGAGATCATAACTTGCTACGTTTTTAAAGTATGTCAAACCAATTCTAAAGCTTAAATGGATCCACTGATAACGAAAACAAGGCAAAATAATTCTTACTAATCCTATAAATATATAAATATTTTTAAACCAAAAATAATACAGCAATAATGTGTTGCTGTTATGTCTACTGCCTAGATACTATACAAGAGAAACTAGGTGAAGCACGGGTACGCCGCCAATTTTAGATATTTTCAATAAGAAGTAGGTATTTGAAAAGTTACGGAAAGGCATTGAGGTTAGAGCAGCATTTCGGATCAGAGAACAGTAAAACATACTTTAAATTAGTAATAATCGGTAAAGGATTTATCAAAAAATCGTTTAATTTATATTTTTCTCAAAAGAAATCGAATACCCTGTGTCCTTTTTGTTGTTGATTACGAGTAGATTAGATGATTTTTTTTTAATCATGTTCATATCCCATTGTGTTTAACACGAAGATTTGATTCGATCCATTGTCACTAAGTCAGCCAGCAGTCCTGATTGGCGTATGTACATATATCATGCATGTGTGTGACCCAAACCTGTCCTTCACAGGTGTGCTGCGGAATCGAACCCGGAGAACACGGATAGCACACTGAGACAGGTGTGGTCAAGGGAACAGTTCCTTCACGGAGCTGCGGCGACCGGCGGGCCAGGCAATGTGCCCACGCCGAGGTATTTACAATTCCAGTCAATATGCGTTTGCTATTACAGTAAAAGGGACAAGCGAGCAGACGCCTGATAGTAAGTAACTTGCAACTCAAGACTTACAAGTGAGTTGCCCCCCCCCCTTCCCCGAGTAAGGAGGGGGGGGGGGGTTGGGCTCCAGTAACCTCAGTCACTTGGTGAAACACAACGAATGAATTGCTTCACGCCCGTTTTCTGTGAGGTGGTGGTATAACTCCGGTCCAGCCTGCCCAATCATGCCGAAGCATGGCTCTCCCACGGTAGATAATTGTGTGATTGTTTTTCATATCATATTTTTGTGATCATCGCATTATTTAGCCGTTCACCGCACAATGTACATATTGTTCTATTAAGTCAACGTATCCACCATTATAGTCAGTAATTAAAAAGATATACATAAAGGCCTAGTTTTGTAGGCAGTTAAAATTATTTTATTTGAAACCCGAACTGAATATTTTAGAATAGTGTGTAGTACTTAAAACTTGATACATGTTGCTTTTGCTATTTGGACTAATTGTATGTACATAAGGCGTGTGTACATATGTATAACATTAATATATATAAGGGGTTAAAGTATGAAATTGCTGATTGATACTGAAAAACTCATTTTTTTCTAAATATGTTAATTTATTTAATCAAAATATTTACCCTCATTTCTATATACATTGCTTCCATCTAAACGGAAGTTAATTTATGCTTTCACGATAGAACTCTGAGGATTTAGATTCGACAAACTTTTGCAGTTCCTCCTGGGAAGATTTATTTTTATCACGTAGGAAATTGTCTAAATTACAAAAAAAATGGTCAAGGTCTAGCGAGTACGGAGGATTACGTATGGTGTCTAACCGCTGCTCCTGGAGAGTTACAATGGTTTCTCGTGCAGTGTGAGGTCTTACGTTATCATGGAGCAATAATGGTGAGATCGATTCACAAGTTGGGGCTGTTTCACTGGCAGTTTTGCCGTCATTGTTCGAAGTTCGGCACAGTAAACATCTGATGTTATTGCCTGACCAGACCTGAGAAAGCGAATAACACCATAAAGAGACCACCAAACAGTTACCATTATCTTTTTATTGGTAAGCTTTGCTTTAGGGCACTCTTGCGGCATTTTACCTGGGGTCAGTCATTGCATTTTTCGCTGAGTGATTATTGTAGGTAGGGTACCCTTAAACCATGCCGCTAATCCGTGGGTAGTTTGAGTCGGATCGGCTTCCACCATTTCCTTCAATTCAGCGTTATTCACCTGTGTGGGTCTTTCACGTGATTCGTTCATCAAGTCGAAGTTTCCATTACGAAAGCGTTTAAACTAAAAACGCAGCGTTAATATTGCGAGCCTTTTCTGCCGCGTTAGTTCCGCGTCGGAACTCTATTGACTCGGATTTTTTAAGTATCCATCTTTCACGTCTAAGCTGAATAAAAAACACAATTAACAGTCGAAAATCGAATGTTGCACATTTTTTAAAAGAAGAACTTCATAGGTATCAAGTGGAAAACGTTTTACACGAAAATCTCACACCATCAAGGTTTTATGCCAATTCGAAGTACGAGTATCTACTACTATACAACGGCAATTTCATACTATAACCCCTCTTATATACACAATTCATAAGTTACAATCAAACTTATTCCACTATTTCCATTAGTAACAAAGCAAATAATTTCCTTTAGATACCTACATATCTTAGAATAATATAAACATTATATCAGTCAATCTAGCTTTCGTAGTACAAGCTCGTTTAGTTTGAAACTAGATGGCGTTGTGTGTCAGATCTCTGAAAATATTATTTTATTATTATTATTAATCATCACATCAACAGCCTTTAATAGTCCGCTGCTGACGAGTTGGTACAGGGTTTGTTTCAAGTTTTCCTTCTCTCTGCAGAGCTGTTGTTCTGTGTAGTTTTTCCTCTTAGTCGGCTCTTACGACACCCACGGAATGAATAGGGGGTGGTGACACTGTATTCTTAATCCGTCACCAAACGGAGACCTTTGATAACATAATGGATAATTATTATTAGTCTTGTGTTTCCACATTCAAGTAGGCCATCAAAGCTTATAATCGTGAAGGCTGCAGCTTCTATCAAAAACAAAAAACTTTTTTGGTTTTGTTTGAATTACAAATTACTAAATCTTTGTTCTACAATATTAAGAGGATTAGCAGGGTTTCAATAGGTAATCGAAAATGGATCAAAATTTCAACAAAATATTTGTTAGTCATTGACCTCCCTGCCTGTTGTTGGCAGACGCAGCGAGAAAAGCTACTCGCGCAGTAGAAGAACGAGAGAGACTGCTTCTGACACTTCCTCGGGATCTCTCTCCTCAGCCATGACTATAGTTACCAGGTATTTAATAATTTACATTATAATAGCCAAATGACAGCAGATTAAAACCTGAAGAATTCTGGGTTTTTAATAGGTGAAATACGATAACATTTATATATCATTTGTTTACCCACTGTTTCATTATTCAGTCATATCGCTGTCTGTAACCATAAAAAAAATCGAAATACAGTAGATGACTGTCAAGATGTCAAATGCCTCCTTCTTAACCAAACGTCAAAACGCTACGTACGTATTAAATAATGAATGAACATCATACTTGATTTGGCAATATGAAATTGTATACTGTTATACAATTCACAAAAAAAAGAATAATAGAAAACTAGAACCGATGAGGACTGTTAAACCATATATTTTAAATATATGAAACCACACAAGTGGTGACCTTTACGCATTAAAGACTGTTAATCCATTTCCATTCTTAATATTTTATTTCAAAAAGGCGGAAAGAGTTTGTCGTCTAATAAAGTCAGGCGGTAACAAATACGGTTAGAGTAGAGATGTGATAGAGACGTGTTCGTATGCCTCCAGGGTACGGCCGGGCAGCAGCGAGGAGATGGGCAGCAGCGGTGTGGTGTGTGGCGGCAGCTCCCCCGCCGCAAGAGACTCCGCGCCTGACTCCAATGACTCCGCCAGTGACTACAATGAGGTATTGACACCAACATCTGTTTGTAAAAAAAACTAAAAATCAAATGATGAGTCAACGACCAGCGCGAGCGTACGTAAGCGTACGATTTGAGAACAGCTTGTCCGAATTGACAAGTTTTTTTTTCTTTTTATGTACGATTATGTGTTTTGAAAAATAAAAAGTTAGTAAATTATTTCGGCAAATGGTGGATTGGTTATCTCATATAATTAAAACTAACACACATTTATTGACAGAGATGTCGGATCAGCAATATTAGATTGATACATTTACTATTTAATTTGTGGGATATTGTGTCTTTGCTATAAAATCTAGTCTAGTCTTTGCTATTCAATTGAGTTTATATTATTTATCAATTAACATTTAATTTAAAAAAAAAAGTTAGTTTATGTTTTGGCCGTCAATGATGAAACACGTATATTTAATTATTCAGGTATTTATAATTTAAATTACCAAAATCAGATTTTGTTTTACAAACGAACCAACATTAGTGCCAAAGAACATTAAAAAAATCAATAATTATCTTATTACGTTCTTGAAATGATTAACGCGAAGACTGCTATTGTCTTCAATAGCCACAGCGAAGATGCAAATACTTATTAGTCCTGGCTATACTCTGTTTTATTTAATAAATAGTTTTATTTAACAATAGACAATCTCATCTCTAACATGGCTGAGACAGCAGACGAGAATATTTGCAAAATTATTCTGTAAATTACATCTATAGAGATATAACAATGAGCACATGCAACCTTGACGCGTCGTTTAAACAAAACATCCTCCGTGTGTTGTGGAAGTTATAACGATTATACTATATATAAACAATATACTGTAATAATATATGTTAGTAACAAACAGCAGTTAGAAACAGACTATAAGATATTTACAGGTTAATTTTACAAAACTAAGGTATTGCTAAACAATCTTCTTTGTTTAAGAACTTAGAGTATCACAGACTTATAAAAGTAACCATACCGTAATGACGTAATGCATTTTTCGTCTCTTCCGCACATCTATACAAAAATAAGTATTACTACCGGGACTGCCGGGAACATAAGTACATATATATATACATAGCGACTAAGATAAAAAGCTTAAATATTATGTTTGTATGGTAAAACAATCAATGACATGAGTCTGGTTTTGCAGAATTATTCTATGTGATATGCAAAGGTAATCAATAATAGTGTATATTTACAAGGACATAAAGTACTTACTTCCAGTAGGTGTTAATCTCATAAACTCTCAAAAACTGATCCGACATTAAACTTGTTTTAACAAGACCAGTAGAATAAAACAGTAAATAATTTTATAAATATTCATTACAGACACTAGGCGGATCAGACGATGACAGCTGCGTTATCACCGCATCGCTCCACATCCCAGCAGCCTTCAGTCCCAACAGCCGTCAACCACGACCGTCACCAAGACGGCGGTCCACCTCTGGCTCCGAGTCCTCTGCTAAACGGGACTCCGCAGTCGGATCTTCATCTACATCGGCATCCTGCGCCTCGTCTCCGCCCGCAAGCCCCCCTCCTCAGGCCCCTACGCCCCTAAGGGTTACACTGACGTCAGCGGCGGAGTTAAGGCGCCCTTCCCCTGATATTGACAGACTCATTGCGCTCAGCAGGTAACTTACTTTGTTGACTTTTGGGAAATTTCGTTGACTGCACGGATCGCGTAGTAGTTTAAGCGGTCGCCACGCCGCTTCCTACTTCGCTGAGTGTTGTGGGTTCGATCCCCACATAGGACAACACTTTGTGTGATCCAATAATTGTCGTTCTGAGTCTCGGTGTTCTATGTGTCCGTTTATGTGTGATTATAAAGTCCATTGCGACACAGGATCTAGTCATAGTGCAGGTGTTGTCTTTAAAACAGTATTGTATGTATATTGTCTTAGTATTATATTTATAAAACTAATATTTTTGCCTTATTTATCTAGTTTATCCCGTGGGATGTGGTAATAAGTTATTCCTATAAAAGTAGGTAATAAAATACTGAATTTTAGATGTTTTACTGAAATGCCACCCTTCTCTATGACCCATTGTGGTTGCATTGGCAACAAAACTGTTGCCAAAAATAGATAAAAACATTTTCTTTTTAATTTGAGCTCTTCCGAGTTTTTGAAGCGTACACAAACTATATATATACATACATATACGAGTATATAACATAGATAATAGACACGTGCCACAGCTTAATTCGCGACATACCAATATCCCTAAACCTATAACGTATCATGTGTTGTGTGAGTACTAAAGTGTTGTGGTGTGTGGTAGAGAGCGCAACACGTCGGACGCCCGCGCGGTGGTGCTGCGCTCGCACGACGACGCGGCGGCGCCGGCGCGCTCGAGGGGGGCGCGCGCCGCCCACAGCGCGACACTCGCCGCGTCCAGCTCCAGCCACACCGTGTCCAGCGCCAGCAGCTCCACCAACGTGACGGTGAGCAGCGTCAGCACCAGCGCCGGCGGAACGCTCTACAAGAGAGGAGAACTCATTTCTAGCGCACGTCCCACGTGACGTGCCCGCACCGTGTTTTATACATAAACGTCTATTTATCAGTTTGGCGATCGTTTTATTGGACCTGTACACATATTTTAATCCTTTATTTATAATTTTTGTTTTACTAAAATATTACGCGACTCGGGAAAAGCCATTCATTCCATAACAACTTGCATTTTTACACGCTTTATATTGGTTTGTATGTTTGTAACCGACTCCTTTGGGCGTGATTTTGACTGACTTTAAACGGTCAGAATTCGTTCAAACTTTGTAGATATATCGAGGACCGATGACAATACACTAATTTAAAAAAAAAAGTAGTAAAAAGCACCCCACGCTTATAACTTTTACTATTGACAACAGGCACCCAACGCTTTTATTCAAATTTATTTTCTATTTTTTAGTTTGGTTTTCTATAGAAAGCGTGTTTTTTAGTTTTTTTTATATTCTATTGAATACTTTATTGGACGTAGGTATCTTATTAGCTTCGATCATAGCAGGTGTTATCTAATACTATATTACTTAAATTATTCTTTGTAGGTTAGATTTTTCTTTGTGTTTATAATCTTGTGATACTGCATTAGGTATAATGAAGTAGGTACCTACGTAATTTCTACGTATAAGATTATAGGTATAATTTTGATTAAAAATTGAAAAGGTACTTTGCTTTCTTACTTTGCATTTATTTAACGTATGGTGGTCAAACTTGCGGACAAGTCACATGATGTTAAGTTACTACTACCGCCCAGGGATACCTTCAACTCAAGACTCAAAAGTGCATTGCCAGCCTTTAAGTACTAACTTCCCCTCCTCCCAGAATTAAGGTTTCACACAGTAAAATACTACGTAAGAACTGCTAAACATCGATTCTCTGTGACGCCGTGGTATCACTTCTCACTGATGCCGCTGATGCCGAAGCATAGCTCTTCCACTCTTTAACTTATACTTTTTAACAATATTTTATGAGTAACTATGTTGATTATCGCGGCAAGTAGCCATATGTCTTTTCTCAAGAATCAAAGTATCTCCATACCAAATTTCATCTAAATCGATTCAACGGTTATTCATTCCCTATACAAAATTCCACCCGCCTATGTCCTTTCCTGGGACTCGGTTCAGCGGTTTAAGCGTGAACAGACAGACAGACACACTTTGGCATTTATAATATTAGTATGGAATTGTTGTTAAAATACGGAGAAACTACATATCCTCTTTGTAACTGAGATATAAAAGTGACCAAGCTCCCTTGACCCAGACTAGGAAAACAAACAAATACGCTGACACCTGCTACTTTAGTAATATACAAAATCACACTTAATAAGAACATAGTACTAAATTAAAATGAGAGGCACAATCGCAATGACCTGTTATAAATCATATGATTTATAAAAATACAATCACATATAATCACACCTGTGACTAATTTACAAAACCACTGCGACTTATGACTATGCTAGCGCCAGACTCGCGAAAGGTCTAAATCTAAAGAAGTTTTTTCTTTGCTTTTGGATTTTATGTTGTTTATGTCCAAATCTCAATAGTGATTTAACACAGGTGAAATCGCAGTGACTGTTTAAATCACTTGTGAGATCCACAAATTGTTGTTCTAAGTCTGGGTGTTCTTTGTATCCGTTTCATGTATGTTTGTAAAGTTCCAAGCGACATAGGGTTTATTCCTGTTAGTGCGGGAGTCTATTAAAAAAAAACATCACTACTATGGACTCATGTCCTAATGAGTCTTGTGTTTAATTGCGTTTATGATGTTTTGTTAGAGATTCAGGTATCATTAGTATGAAACTATATACCGTTACTTAAAATGGAGAAAATAAAATATAAATCATTATGAATTAAAATAAAGTTTATTTTAAACAGTTTATTTCAAATATTCGCAGGTTGACAAAATATAACTAAAGTGAACACGCAGCATACATTGTTCAAACCGTAACAAATGCTTAACTCTTCAACCCTGAGCTTAAACCACAACTAACATTAATACGACCTTATTACATCCAATACGTAACTAAATAATTAATAAACTAAACATAGTTGGTGATTCTTCGTTCTTTTTACTTCTAGTCAATTGTTAGCAAGAAAACACTAAACCAAGAGGGATTTCGTAGAAAGTCACTTGTGCATCGCGTCGCCACATCGCATTACATGTTACACATTCGTGGCGACGCATACCGTGGCTACCCGTCGCCATACCAACTGCCAGTTTGACCCTCCACAAACAAACTAATGATTTGATTTAAATAATATAGCACTTAATAAATTACCAACTGTGAATCAAAAGAACGAATATTCACCCAGGTATTAGAATCTCCTGAGTTCTTGTTCACAAGAAATAAAGTCAATAACTATAGCTATACATATAAAGATGGGGCTATTAACACGTTCAGTTACAACATTTATAGCTTATTTCAATACGAAATACCCCCTAATAGTTTTAAATAATAAATCCTATTAGGTTTTTAATAAAAATCGAGGGCACTCATTACAGGATAGTTTTAAGCAAGCATTGCCTGCGTCTGCCAAGTTGGTGACACCAATCCTAATACCACCAATTTTAAAACCTAGAAAGGATTGTTTTTAAATCGTTTTGTAGATTAAAATACTGCCTCAATCATTTTAAAACATAAAATATTTGTAGAACTATATATGTTTATTAAACTTTTTTTAAAGGCTGGCCTGTTTAATGTTTGTGCGCTTTTCTGTTAAATTGTCTTGCAAGCCCTTACTTGGTTTTGAAATAGATTGTTTTATTTTTTTGTGGTGATAATTAATATTTATTTACAAAATCAGAAGTAATTTTGTTCTCGCGTCTTATAATTTACACTAACCGCCACACTGAGCGGGCGTCATCACTTAATTTACTCTAAACGCGTAATCAATGCTTAGTATACATCTATAGTGTGGGCAAGGCAAGGTATCTGTCAAAATGTGTTCAAGTTGGGTGGCGTACAGTAGCATTAAGTAAACTTTGTCCAAATAAATAAGGAAAAAAATCTTTAAAAAAAATTGTTGACTTCGCTGATTAAAATGTAACTCGTAGTTAAATTTAAAAATTATTTTTTAAGGCATAAGTTTTTACTCTTTTAACTTTAACTCAGTACACTTCACTCCTAGGTCACTGTTAAGTTCATATCTTTGCCTACACTAGCGCCAAGCCGGTCGGTTTTTGAACTCTTATTTAATAGTTTTGCTGGTGATTCACACCCATACAAGATGGTGCTCCTTACCTCAATATTCATCAGACCAAATTGTTGAGTAATGACTTAAGTAAAAGATAACCTAACAATCATCTATTTATCTGTGATGAATAAAAAAAAAACAATCTATGTTTTCTATAAAACAAGAAAAAATGGTCATAGAGAAAGTTTATTGAATGACTAAATTTTCTTTAATCTGTTTGATATTTATACACAACAACACTACAATAAAATGAGAAATTATGTATAAACTGTTTATTAATTTAAACAAATGTTGCATTGGGACTTAAAAATAAATTGCCTTACAAATAACATTTTAACAGTAAAAATAATTAGTTTGTATTGAGAACTAAACATTTCTGGGGCAGAGTAAAACTAAACAATGAAAATCGGTACCCCAGCAAATACTTTTATGACAAAAAACGACAGAAACCGGTTTTAAAGTCATAAATAAATGTGGACCCCGAAAACTAAAATTCCTTCGTCAGTCGGAAGTTCCAATGTCAAGAAGTAGTTTAATCATTTATTTTATCTTTGTAAAATCTAGAGGTGTCGATGTACAACCATGCTAATAATTAGTCATCATTGAAATATTTCATCAGAAAAGTGCTATTGAATTAAATCTAAAAGCGTGGTCTGCCGATGTTTACAACTTAAGCTCAATTAAGCTAGAATTATAGTTGTAGTATTTTAAATTGTATATATATGAGGCCTTTATCGGTAATCAATGTAATTTTGTTATAATTTCGCGTTAAACGAAGAAAAATAAAAGTTGGTTATAATGTTTGTATTTTGTAGGCATATACATACAACAAAGAAAATAAAATATTGGATTATTTTAGATAAGTAAAACTAGAACAGTAAATTTAGAATGTATCCTACTTAAAATGTTTGTGTGCTTGGATTTCACTATAAAATTTAACATTTTATTTCGTAATAAATAAAAATTAAACATCAGCTTTATAAAGAAAGTATTACGAGTACGTACGAAGGTAACGTAACGTAACGTAACGAGGCAATAACTACGAAAAGCATTTTAATAAATCAGTATGTTAAAAATTACATTACAGACCACGTGATTGCAGGGATCTACAATTATTAGAACAGTCAGCAATCATTTAAACTGATAGGATGTCTATACATTTAAATTTTAGAAAGTGATTTTTTGGTCCTTCGAAAAGATTGCTGTCACTGACCGTAATAAGAGATATCCACTTTTCTTTACATTTGCTTTATTCAAATATACCAGGTTACATACAGAAATATTATCTAAATGGTTATAAAATGTCAAGAGGTGATGAAATTGATGTTTCTTTTTTACAATAACAGTCATGTTTATAAATAGATTCAGAGCAGATAGGGTGTTGGTGATTACTACAACATCGTACATCTGTCTACGTGATTTATTTTTAACATATACATGTATTCTTAATGTCCATCGTTTTCATGTTTTCGAATCGAGATTTCATTTAAATTTACATATACTTTGTATTCTCATTACACGAAATATACTAATATATTGTCCACCGTGTTCATAGCACACAATTCTTTACACCGCCCGATTAAAGTTAACATCCTACTATACACGTCAACACAAATATGGGACGAGATCCGTCGGATCCGAATATACTACGGTTACGATTCTGATAAAAAAATATAAGGGAAATGACCGGCCGAGGCTCGGCCACAGTTTTAGTCACAGAAGAATTTCGAGTACCCGACTCCGTCGGCGAGGATCGGAGTGGCCAAAATCTTTGATAAAACTCAAGATTGTATCGAGCTTGCGACGCGCCGACAGAGTCACCTAGAAATAGCTAACATCCTTTAAGTAGAAATCTAATTTAGTCTAACGTTTAAGAGTAGGAGGGAGGAGGTCGGCCGCTCATCAGAAACGCGCGCGGATGTAGACGGCGGCCACGTCGTGGTTGGCGTAGCCCAGGCGCTTGGCGTGCTTGAAGATCTCGTTGGTGGTGGCCGACAGCGGCAGCGACTGCTCCAGCGCGTCGCCCAGCGCCAGCGCCAGCTTCAGGTCCTTCTGCATGTGCATCAGCGGCTGCTGCGTCGAGTACGCCGACTCGATCATCGCTGAAATGATCGCATCACGCGTTTTACTCACAATACACTACTATAAACAACGCTACAAGTGAAATACACACGTAAACAACACCGTAGATATATATCTAAAAATATTACAACAAAGTGATTAATTACAAAATTCTGGACACAATTGAATGCTACTACTGCTATATTACTTGAAATTTTCCAAATAGATCGCATATACAAAGGAAGTAACGAATTTTAAATAATTCATAAGCCACTTTGACTTAAGACAGTCAAAGTTTTTTTTGTAAATTGATTTCTAAAATATATAATAAGTGTATTTTAGTGGATGGTCAGTGGCAAAATTAACAATTTAAATACGAATTGTGATATAAAGGCATTTCGATAGTGTCGATGTTCGGCAACAGAATGGACATTGTATTTAGTAGAAATGAGTAATCATAAAATAGGAAACTATTAAATGGAAGATAAACTATTTTATTAAAAATGAACACTACTAAAACTAATTCCGATATTTGATAAGAAGATTGTATATTCTGTGTCGTTGGGGACTTCACAGACATTCATAAAACGGGCACAAAGAGCATCCAGACTCAGAACCACAATTTGATGATGGCACAAAGTGTTGTCCCATGTGGGGATCAAACTCACAACACTACGTAGTGGATCGTTTCAACCACTGCGCCATCCGTGCAGTCAGTATAATCTACTTTAGTTTTGGAAGATCACCTCCAGTGTTTAGTATAAAAGTGAGCGGGGCAAAGTGTAGTCCAAAGTGAGGGTACGCACCTCTGCCCTTGAGGATGAGGTGCGGGCTGGCGAGCGGCGTGAGCGCGAGCACGTCGAGCAGGTCGGCCTGGTTGAGCCCCGCGCGGTCCGCCAGCGCCAGGCCCTCGGCCAGCGCCGCCAGCGACACGCCGCCCACCACTTGCAGCACCGAATTCATCTTCGACGCGTTGCCGATGTCGCCTGAGGAATCGAATGTGTGGAACTGCTTATTTGATACGGACGAACGACTCACGGCTATACACAGATAGAAGACTCGGTTGTCTGACATCGAAACCGAATAATCTCTTGTCAAGTATTTACCACAATTTATGTGAAATAATATAGAATATTTTTATAACTCTTAAGGGTAAATATAATATAGGTATATATTACTGAATTTAGTGAACAGCACATGAGGGACTCTTGGCAAAGTGGTAACCGAGTAGGTTAACACATTGCAAAGTTAAGCAATGTTAGGTAGGTCAGTCTATGGATGGGTGACCATTAATAAGACGCTGAGACCCTACAGTTCTCCGCCGTCGATCTCGGTTGCCATTCGAACAACTGTGGCAATCGTTACGGGTAGTCGGATCCCTAAAAACCCGCCAACAGTCTTTCTACAGAACTTCGATATCGCCTAGTACTTGAGTAGTGGAGGTCTGATGGGCATCGCTCCACGTAAAAAAATCACATAAAAATCCATATTACATCTTAAAGGTGTTAAAGTAACTCCGTTTTTGACCTTTTCAAGACTCCTAAAACCTAGAAACCAATGGTATGAATGAAATTAAGTTTTTTTTTAAATATTATTATTTATGAATGAAATCAGTAAGTTAATGTTAATCCCATTGCTCCCATGAGTGATGGTGCTCATGTATGTGTGTATATGCTGGGTGTTAATGAATAATTTTTTAACTGTCATTGTATGAAAGGCGAAAAATTAAATTAAGCCTTCTAATTCATTGTGGTTTTTAAAATAACCTTTCAACTTCAAAGTTTTGAGTAAGAAATCATAATGATGATTAAAAATTGTTGGGTTTTCAAACGGTTTACTGTTCTGTCTTCCAGAACCTTAAGTGAAACAGAGAAATATGGTTAGAAATGAGCTTAAAATGATTATGGATGAAATTATGAGCATCATGAGTTATGTTAGCATGCAACATAAGCATATCATGCACCTACAAATAACTTTATCCTTCTGTCATCCCTAAGCATGATGATAAAAGCTTGAAGGCAGCTCAGATTTAAACGTTGACATTTAAATAAAGGAGAAAACAAAAACTCAATAAAATTGTAAACCAAAAAAACACCCGCGATGCAAAATAAGTACTACAAACTAAATATAAAAATAAAATAAATTACAGTTATTTCAAAAATACAAACAGCAACAAAACCCTATATAAAATAGGTAGGTATATTTTTATTTTGTTAATTTTAATACAGTCTCCTAAACTACAACAGATTAAGATTTTTGCAAATTCCTATTTCAGCCTTGGAGCCTAAACATGTCTGGACTGGATTTAATAATTTTAGTGCTTTATTACACTATAAAATTATTAGTCGATATTTTTCAATAAATATTACAAAAAAAGAGATGAAGTGGATTCCAACTAATATCTATTTTAAGAAATTAGTCAGTATTAGAAGGCCGCTCCAATCAGGCCGACATATTCTTTAACTAAATAAACTTTATACTTTGTATAATTTTAAATAAATAAATCTCAATCAATAAATACATACTACATACATTTAAAAATGAAAGCATCGCAGGCAAAACTAAACCAAAATGCATAATTGTCAACGTCCAAGTTTCCTCGCGGCCGTAACCGGATAAGCTTACTACTACCAAGGTAAAAGGAGTTCTTGCTCATGGCCTTAAAGCACGACTGGCAATCGTCGAACAGCGTCCTGTCTCCCGCCGCCAGGATAATGAGGGTGCCTTCCTCCGCTTGTGTTTTTGAGCCTTGGATCTGGAAAATATGGCACATGTCGTTAGCTTTGCCATAGGTAAATAGAGAGATAGACATCTAAAGGTTAATCCTGTAAGAAATTATTTTTTACCCCCGACGCAAAAACGACGGGGTGTCATTAGGTTTATGTGTCTCTCTGTGTGTGTGTGTTTGTGTGTCTGTTTGTGGCATCGTAGCTCCCGAACGGATGAACCGATTTTGATTTTGTTTTTTTTTTGTTTGAAAAGTGAATTAATCGGAAGTGTTCAATTATGTTTAATGAAACACGGTCCAAGATGGCCGCCGCCACAAAATGGCGGATTACATATTTTTTAAAGTTATTTTTTGTGTCGGGGGTTTTTTAATTATGCTATTATTAGCGATAAGGCCGCCATTTGTACATGGTCATTAATTTGATGAACTCTTATATGAATTATGTACTAAACTGGTGTACATTAAAGTTATATTTTAGATTAGATTTTCAGATGCGAAAAGACAGGTCACCTGATGGTAAGTAACCACCGCCACACCTGTAATTCGAGAGTCACAAGACCGTCTTCGCCCTCTAACCCCCCTCCCAAATTTGGGGAAGAGGGTTTTGGCTCCTGGCAGAGCCTGTACTATAGTAACCAGACTGCTGATAAACATACTTATATATTTCTAAATACATACATTTTATAGATATAAGTACACCCAGACACAGAACGAATGACCGTGCTCATCACACAATTATTTGTTTTGGGTGGGAATCGAACCCACGACCTCTGGCGTAGCAGTCAGGATCACTAACAACTAGACCAACAGGCCAGTCAGTATATTGGTAAGCTGACAGTTTTATTAACATTAAGTAATTTACCTGCGCCTCGAGATACCGTCCGCCCTTCCCGCTGATGGCTTCGACGATATCGTGTGACGTGTCAGCATCAATGGACGTCATTTCCACGTAGCCTTTCGACTCTAGGGACGGACAGTGGAGTACACCACAGTTTCCAAACACCATCTATTTATAAACAATTGTATACCCATTTTAATTACAATATTTTGTGAATCCTAATCCTAAATCAGGCTCTAGATACCATGTCTAATTTTCAATTTTCAACCGAATGCAATAATCCTTTTACTTAACCGCTCTTTAAAAAATGCTTGTTAACTACTCTAAGTTTTATAAAAATAGGCTCACTTAATGTCGATATAGGCTAGTAATATTCATGCAATATTACTAAAACACAAACTACAAAAATTGCACTTTTGATATTTCAACATCACAACAAAACAAACATGTTTTTTAATAGTTTTGTTAAATAATGACGTGACGTAATTTGACACAGAACAATGAGGAATAATCATTTTAAAACCTGCTCAAGTACTACAAATAGAATACCAGCGCAAATAAACGGCTCACATCACACACACACATCAACAGCCTTTAATAGTCCACTGCTGGACATAGGCCTCTCCTTAGAAAGGCTAACTAATATGTAACATCTAGACCATACAACAAGTATAATTTTTAACAAAAAAAAAACTACTTCAAACAGTAAACTAAAAAGCTGCTATCATCGAACCCTGATTTCCTGAACATGGGATCATCTTTGAAGTATCTTCTTTCCAACAAAAAAACAATAATCAAAATCGGTTCATAAACAACGAAGTTATCCGCGAACAAACCTAAAAAAAGCATAAATATGGTCGAATTTAGTAACCTCCTCCTTTTTTGAAGTCGGTTAAAAATAAGTTATGAATGAGCAATTACACTCAGAACAATTAGTTCCTAGGCTGGTGGGCCTATTGTTACACTGTTGTGTGGTAACCAGGTCAGGTTAAAAACAAACCTCGTTTTTGCAACATTTGTCATTGATGCTCGGCTCCAATTCGTCGGAGCGTGATATTACATAGCCTATAGCCTTCCTCGATAAATGAGCTATCCAACAGTAAAATAATATTTCACTTCGAACCAGTAGTTGATGAGATTAGTGGGTTCAAACAAACTCTTCAGCTTTATATTATCTTTTCATCTTTCAGTCATGTTCAAGAATTTTTTAATTCGTAAATTTAGAAAATTTGAGAATGTTAGGGTAGTATCCGCTTCAGTACGCATACAACGGTTCAACCCCGCAGGTGATCCGTAAACTTATAAATGAAAGGTCCGTAGGCTCTGACCTTTACTCGTGCGGTTAGCAGATGTTTGCAAAGCCACCGTTAAAGAACACTGTATTTTTAACCATCTCACACACGGCTATCTAGTTCCAAAGTCAGCAGTTTAGTTACTACAGTTAATACAGACTCTCTGAGTCAGTATAATGTTAACTAAACTGCTGATTAACATACCTATGTACATATTTCTAAATATATACATATGATAGATCAAATTACACCCAGACACAGAACAAAGGATCGTTCTCATCACACAAATATTTGTCCTGGGTGGGAATAGAACCCACTACTTGACTTAGCAGTGAGGATCACTAGTCCAGCAGGCCAGTCGAATAATGTTTTAACCAAATACCAAAACCCACTCAATTACAAAACATCGTTACATTTGAGGATTCTAACATAAGTTCTAATAATACTGAGATGAGAGTTTAAGGTTCACCCTAACGAATAATACTTGAATCTTACATTAAAACTTTTTGAAGTTAAAACTTTTCTAGGCGCGTTGGGCATTTTTTGAGATAGAAAAAAACAATTGAATTCGCAACACTGATACCGTTACCGACACCTCTGTATATGAGTTTTCACATCTGTCGGCACTCCCGGAGTGCTTCTTTTTTATGGTATAAGGAGGCAAACGAGCAGAAGGGTCACCTGATGGTAAGTGACTATGCACTGGTCGTAGTCTAACTGGAATCAGCCTAAAACCATGACTAGTATAACTTAATCAATGGCAATTAAAAAGTATATAATATCTGCTTTGTAATTGCGTTTATTCCCGTCCATTACGAATCAATCTTCGGACCTCTACCTTGTCCACATTTAACTGAGGAGTTCTTGCAAGAGACCGTCTGGCTAGCGTGGTATAGTAGGCCAAAACCCAAGAAGAGGCCTATGTCCAGCAGTGGACTAGTAAAGGCTGTTGATGGCTTGATGAAACAACATTAAATCTAGATCATCTACCTCTTTAGCTGCTTGAGGGTCGGCAACACAGGAAAATGTAATGTCAGCCTCTTCGACTACGTCACACGGTGTTACGGCGATAGTGGCGCCCACCTTCTCGAAGTCTTTACACTGGGGACAAAGAAAAGATCTTTATTAGTTATGTTATGTATGTATATGCTTAGCATTATATTTCAACATATAAAAAGGTATTTTCGTCGTACCAGTTGAACCGACTTCAAAAAATACTAACAAAGAGCACTAAAAACTTAGCAGCAATCAAGCAGTTGATTTGCTGTCATTTTTGAAGAGTTCTGTTGTCTGTCTCCGAAAATCAACATTAGATTTATATGAAATTTAAATGGGACTATTTCGGCATAAACCCTTTTCGAACAAAAAAAATTTGAAAATCTGTCTTTTATGACGGAATTATGCTCGAAAACATATACAAAATATATACATAAACATCCGAATTGATAACCTCCTCCTTTTTGTATTCGGGTAAAGATAGAAAATGACAGAAGAAGCACAGCATATTTCTGCTCGATTTGGAGCTACTTTACCAGCTACACCACACCACAATTAATCATCGTGGTAAAGGAGACAGAATTTGCATACTATCAGTCGCAAAGGGTTCTAGGGTATCAATAATTTATTTATATAAAAAAAAGACGTGTGGCACTCGGGGACTGCCGCGGTAAAGCTATTGCATAGCATTTTGTATCAACTTATGCAATTATAATTATTTATTTATTTTATTTATGCAGTATTTCTTTATCTTTGATATTAATTCAAGTTACACTTTTTGAGCGTGGTGACCGATAAGAAAACATTTTTTTTTCTTTTATCAAATAAAAATATTGAAGCATATATTACAATTTGTTTTTAAATAAATAAATAAAAAATATTACTATTAAATCAAATTACATATCCATGTAAGATTTTTCTGCATTGTTCCTTTGACGTTCAGCATTTGATTTTGGTACTGTTTTTTGTTTTGTTATTGCTATTTTGCTATTGCATAGCATTTTGTATCAACTTATGCAATTATAATTATTTATTTATTATATTTATTTATTTATTATATTTATTACAAATTTTATTTATGCAGTATTTCTTTTTCTTTACATATTAATTCAAGTTACACTTTTTGAGCGTGGTGACCGATAAGAAAACATTTTTTTTTTCTTTTATTAAATAAAAATATTGAAGCATATATTACAATTTGTTTTTAAATAAATAAATAAAAAATATTAATATTATTATTAAATCAAATTACATATCCATGTAAGATTTTTCTGCATTATGTTGACGAAATTTCCTTTGACGTTCAGCATTTGATTTTGGTACTGTTTTTTGTTTTGTTTTTAGCGTGAGGTTTTTTTTCGTTACGGAATTTCTGGATTCGGTCCCCGCGCTCAAGGTCCTCAATAGAAGCTATGCAATAGCTTAAAAAACATGAATAAGCGCCACCTAAACGATCTGAACAAAATATTCAGTTACACCATCGGCCGCTAGATGTCAGTAAGTGTCGCCCTCGCTACATAGACAATCGATCGTCGCGCAACACCAACGTTCTATACGCGTCAACGACCGCTCGCTCACAATGTCCGCCACGCGCCGCCATTTTGTTCGATAACACGTCTGTCTGCCGTCGCGGCGCCATGAACACACGCACGTAAAACAGACTCTGAGAGCACCGTGACGGACATTACACGCTAGTCCCAAGCGGTTTCTCAACACTGAGTCGGTTTCATATGTAACAGGAAAACGTATTGCAACTCTTATACCTACTAGGAAACGCAGCGACCTTTTCTTTTATGTCATATTGAACTTAGATATCTTTCTAAGTGCCAATTAAACAAAATAGATATATTGCATTTCTCTATGTTTTTATTAGATTATTTATAGTCAATAACGTTAACAAAATAACAACTGTTTAAAAATTATCAGTCTTAAGTACTTGGAATTATTGTATGTTACGTCAAGTACGTAAACTAAATGTTTTTAAGTTTTATGTCACCTGCATTCAGTAAAACTTTGGATCAGATAGTAAAATATAAATGGCTAAACTCTTAGCTTCCGTGACCGCAAACTGCTTCTGTATAAACTAATACATTTAATCGCTTGATTTGAGAAAGCGTTGAGAGTGTTCGTAGATGAATATCAACCGTTAAAGATGTCTTTGCATACGTTGATCGCCTATCATCGTTTGCATAATTAAAAAAAGATATCAAAGATCTTATAAGCAAACTGTAAACATTTTTATCATGTACAAATACAACTCGTCATACTGTCGGATTAACTGAATTTACCGTAGTTAAAATTTCTTATTTTAGATTGTTAGACAAGCATCAAAGTGTCCAACATATTTGTAATAAAACTGATGTAAAAAAGTAACTACAGTTCACGACAAACAACTGTGAGTAACGAAAGTCAATGTCAGTGTTTGCACATATGGCGTTAGCTTCACGTTCCAGGTTTAAACTACAGACAGGGCTGTCGCGTCTTACCTTGTCTAGTGATATAATGGTGCAGCTTATATGCCTCATATAGACGGATAAAATGTGTCATATTGCCTATTCAAATGCGGATTTCTATTATTTCGTGGTGTAGGGGATCCGAATAAAAACAGATAAAATATTAAGCGCTAGTGAGCATAATACAAATACATCCGAAATTAAAGTACATCATTATTAATCACGATAAAACTCAGCAATCTATTTTTGTCACGAACTTAAGTATACAACGCTTTGAATAAACTAAGTTTACTGCAGATACGAGTATGCTTAAGGTTGACCTTAACCTATTTATTATTTACTTAAATCTTACAGGTAAAGGGGACAGCCCTAGAAATGTATACTGGCTACGGTTACCTACGTATAGACGCTACGAAATACACACACGCGACCTATAAACGTGAACATAATATATGACACTGAATGAATTCAAGAGCTTCAAGCTGCAATAGAATGACTAAGAGCAGGCTAACAGTACAACATTTTATTAGTAAAATGACGTCGCCGACAGTATTGCGTAAATGAATTATAGCATAACGGTACGCCTGTGCACCGTTCTAGCTGTATAAGGCACAAGTGTATTCTGCATTCAAACATGTCTGACAACAATATCTTACGAACCGTAAAGTGGGGTTATTTGGATATCACGAGGTTATTTCGAATTTGCAAAATAAAAGATTTCTTCTTAAGTATTTTTTTTTATCTGGGAATAGTAGAAAATATATTTTGCCACAGCAAAAGCCTAAATTTTATGTGTATTTAGTTATAAAACTTTCGCTTTGTAGAGTACATCCAGAAAGATATGTAAATAATGAAATAAACTGCGAAATAGTGTGTTTATCTTTATTTCAGTGATTCTATTCGCTTTTATCAACGTCTTAGAGGCTGCTTTTGGTTTCTGTTTTGGGGTTAATTGGAACTTAATTTTAAATAACCCCTTAAAGCTTGCAAACATTGCTATGTGTTTTATTCATCGAATCAAGCCCCAACTGCATTTTAACTCAGTTAAGGGTATAATCTTTCTCGGCATTAAACAAAATATTTTGGCAAGAGTTGGATGGTGTAATTTGAAGATCCTTTATGCCATTCACTCGTATAAGACCTCTGATGTTTTATATTATGATGCAATGATTATAGACTCTGGGCGCCAGACGCATACAAATGACGTATTTCAATGGATGTTTGTCTATGAGCTCTCAATGTTTTCTCGAATCAAATGATTATTTGTTTACAAAAACTATTTTCCGATACTGTACTAAGCGTTATTTTTTAAGTAACTTAAAAAAATAAGGTCATTTATTGTTTAATACCTGACCATCTAACACAGCTCAAATTTTAGGTTAATTGGGGTTATACTCGCAAAATCTAAGGAGATTAACGAGATTTACCAGATTGGTCGACGATAACGATTTCTGAGCTTTGGCGTCATAGCCCCTATGTGTCATGGTTTGATGACATTTAGTTTACTAATCCTATTTAATGCTGAGATTAGCGCAGAAACAAAGGATGTCAACATTTTTAAAATACCAGGTGAAAAGGTCTCATACCATACTTTTAACGGCACTGCAAAGAGAAGGAAAACTTGACACAAACCCTATACCAACCCGTCTGGCAAGCGTGGTATTGTATGCCAAAACCTTCTTTCTAAGGAGAGGCCTATGTCCAGCAGTGGACTATTATAGGCTATTGATGTGATGTGTGATGTGACTGTCTTTTATTAGTAATGTAGTAATAAATATGAAGGCCAGTATTTTCATTGTTATTTTTGATCATGCTATAGTTTTAGGTCTTACACGTTCTATCGAGTTACACAAACGCGGGATTTATCGCTATCGCAAACTTTGCTGAGTTTATCTATAGGTGGATCTTTCTAGGTCACGGTCGAGACACATCTTCGTGTAAGCAATTTCGAAGTAATAAAAAAAAAAAGACGAGCTGCCTCCTCACACGTGACAAGGTTATATTTCATACAATTAGATCTATTTGATGCTCGCTATACGTTGACTCAAATACAATATATAATAAATGTAATGAACAAAATATTACTACGGCGGTTAACATATATTCCGCCCTATAATAAGGAGTCACCGTTGCAGGTTACCATCGACTATGTAAAAGTCTTATATATCACAACTGCTTTTGAAAAACTATACTAATTCATACCATGATACATAGGTTATTATCTTGATAGCCTATTTTCGTATGTATTTGACAAATCATAAAAAGAGATCAAAGGAATTCGCCAATATTTTTATTTTAATCTACCATAAGTTAGGCTCCTGTATACGAGGTCACCAGAGCCAAATTTGATAGGATTTATTCCCACAAGTGACGTCAAAAGAATGTAAATATACTTATTACTGCAATGCAGATAATTTTTTTTTGGCTAAGCAAATTAAGACTTAGGCATTAAATGTTTTTCCTTTTACTGTAAACATTAATACGACTCAAGTGTCGTTCTAAAAATACTTGTTCCTCTAAGTTCTCTCTTTACAACTATTCGTACTTAAAGAAACAATGGCGATAATTAAAGTTCAAAATGTCGGCCGAAACCGTTTGTTCGAGTTTGTAGGTCAAACGTGATGTTTTACCGGTTCAACAGTGGTTGGCAGACGGAGGCTTTGATTAATTATTTCATTATGTAATCAAAATTATTGCAAATTAATTTGATCGTGGAAGTCATGCTTCGGCATAAATGGGTCGTCTCGACAGCTAGTTATATATAAAACCGGTGTTCAGCAGTAAATTCGTTTATTTTTACCTAGTGAATAAGGTTACTGGACCCCAAAATCAAAGACTTAAAAGGCACGACAACGCACTTCTGACATTTAAGTTGTAGGTGGCCATGGGCAGCGGTAATCACTTAACAATCTACCATAAAAAAACTTATGACACAAAAAGCGGCAAAAAAAACAGTGGCACTCCGGGAGTGCCGACAGAAATGAAAACAAGTAAAAAGTATTTTTTTTTGGTTTCGGAAAGTTCTGACATGGATATATTAGATATATGTATATTCATGTTGTACGTATACACACAATATAATATATGTTTATCTATACTAATATTATAAAGCTAAAGAGTTTGTTTGTGTGTTTGTTTGTTTGAACGCGCTAATCTCAGGAACTACTGGTCCGATTTGAAAAAATCTTTCAGTGTTAGATAGCCCATTTATCGAGGAAGGCTATAGGCTATATATCATCACGGTAAGACCAATAGGAGCGGAGCACCAATGAAGAATGTTTCAAAAACGCAGAAAATTTATTACTATTGAGAGACGCAGACGAAGTTGCGCGGGTCAGCTAGTATTATATATAGTTATATTGTCAATGTATTTCAACCCAAACTCAACTCTCGTGTAAACGGGACCAATATATTATGTAGATACTTATATCAGAGGTGTAACAGTAACAGTGTCGCGAGTTAAAAAAAAATACATTCCTTTGTTTGTTGTTCAAAAATGCCCAACGCGATAAAGAAGTTTTCACTTTAAAAACGAATTGACGGTACTTTAGATAAAACTTGAAAATTGTTTACTTTGCTGGATTTCCTTGTACTCGTATATAGCCGTTACTGAAATACTTATATTAAGGAAATGGGATGTCAATAATATAGACGCAAATAATTGACCACAACTATTATTCGTATTTTGTATTGTGCCTGTACAATTCCTTGACCAAAAAACGATTTACAGATGAATAAATGTGAAAGGATATCACACAAACTGACCAAGAGATAATCTTAAGACATTTGATTTGATAATTTACATCACAATTTTCTAATTTAAACAAATCCCTAGAACCCAACTTGGAACCAAGTCGATTATTCAGATGTAGTAGTCAAGGTTGAGATTAACCTTAACCTATCCAAGAAATAAATATATTTTGAGAGTAAATTGTGTATCTTTTACTTTAGAAAAAGATTGCAAGTTCTTCCTAAATTACTTAAATATGGAAACGTGAGCTAGGTAACGGCAGGCACAGCTTTTTCACAAATAATAATCTTTTAAGTAACTGCTTATAAACGAATCTATAAAATACGGAAATATGGCTTTTGAACATGCAAAGGATATTTCTACGGCTAAATTTCTGAATGAACTTATAAGCCCATACTTTTAATAAGTCCATATTGTAAAGAATGATATTCACTAGCTGTATTCGTTCTTCGACAATTCAAGGTACGTCGCCAATGTCGATAATGCCAGTTAACAAGCGCGTCGATGTAATGATCGAATCGAATTGACAGACAATAGTCTATTGCAATATAAGAAGGCGTGTTAGGTGTTACTTAGCACATATCGCCAAACAACTATTGGGTTTTGTTACATCATTGCACTGAGTATGTACTTACAGAGTTTTATTTTTAAATAGTTTCTTGTGTGACTGGTGGCTGGGCATTTTTGTTTAGACAGTCCTAAACAAGTAACTTCTATTACCCTACTGTGCCAGACGTAGTGTTATTTTCGAGTGTATGTAATCTATGTAAGTATTGATATTTCTTTGGCAAGCTAGACAACGTTCTAAACGGTTTGATAAATTTTGGTTTGAAGTGTCGTTAGATTGGTCTTAATTGTAAGTGACATATAGCTTTGGGAAAACTGGTGGGTGGTATCGAGGAGATTTCCGCACAAACGGAGTAACTATTAATTTTTACGTAGTCGGGTTTTTTTGTACAAAAAGTTATGAGGACGTTTATTTTTTATGATAAAGACGGAAATAAAACCGAAACGTCACCTGTGCCACAATTTTGCTATTTTAATACTGTATCAACAGACTGTCGATAAACTGTCGTCGGAATAGTTTTATGAGCAATTCTCAAAATAATGCTGAATGATTATTGTAGTGTTGTCCCATAAATTGACTTAATTTTTTTAAATGGTAGCAAAATATTATGTTCAAGATAATAATTAAATAAATAAAATCACTGAATTACTGTTTACATTCCTGCTTTCATTCTTATGACAAATTGATAATTTATGAAAAAAAACAAAAAAAGATAAACTATTGAGTGTGCAAATGTATGGAGAGTGATGTGTCCCATTTAGCAGTGTATGACTTTCATAAGCTTTATTTTTAAATATTATGGGCTGGCATTAAATTTTTTGGTGCTATTTTACGCTGTTACTATCAATTTATCCCTCGAATATACAATTTTGCGAAAAACAATGCATATTTTAAAAATAAATATATTTTATAACATGTCTTCAAAAAGTTCCTTATGCCGTTTCTTATTTTGTTACGTGGTTTATGGAAAATATTTAAAAACAAGTTAGTAGATTATGGTTTTCTGTGCACTCTTAACGTTTGAGAAGAACGTAAAGCTAAAAGTAGCATTGCCACTTGTCAAATTCATTTGAAAATATCGTTTCATTGTGTGGTGCTCGCCGGATTCACAATTTTCTTCTTGTTTTGTAACTGTATTAACAAGGGTAAGTTTATAATTTTTAATGTTTATAGTATTAAGAATAGATAATTGTTTAATAAATTTTTGATATCTTATTACATACAGTCGATTTAATCAGATTTTATTGTAGAAATACATGAAATGAAACTTATGGTCTATGTTCGTTACTTCCTCTTTGGTTACTTTTGCGTGGTTATGTATAAGAAGAATATGAAGTAACAAAATAGGAATACATAAGGCAGAGTCTACATTGCATTTTTACCCAACTATGGCACAATATAAGGGAGGGAATTATTTTTTACTTTATGTCTATAAGTATGTAGTTCTTTTGGTAACCGACTTCAAAAAAGGAGGTTCTCAGTTTGACCTGTATGTTTGTACGTATGTACGTATATATGGTTGTCCGCGATTTTCTCAAAAACTACTGATTCTATTTGGGTTGGGTTTTCACCATTGGTTTCGTGTGTTTAAGTGGGTCGTAGATGGCTTAGATTAACAATTACACCCAGTAAGTAGGTGGCACTTCAATCGGGTTCTAGGGTTATATTCTATTTTACGATTTTTTGTTGTGGTTTTGAGTGTGGTTTCCTGAATTCCCCTGATAAAAAACCCTCGCTGAGATTCTTCTCAGCTGAGCTGTTTTTGAGGTCACAATAGATTTCAGTTTTAAGTTGACGTGATTGCCTAGGAATCTTCATGATATTAAAGAAAGTTTGAATTTTAATGGTTGAGATTGTACCCGGCGCTGCCAATCGGGTGCACAAGACAACGTCTGTCGAGACAGAGCTGTCTATTCATAAATAATTCAGTAGTTCCTTTCAATAAATATTCAAATTATTTTACTAAATGTTGTTAATTAATATTTTTCTACACATTCTATTTATACTATTTTTTTTTCTTTTAAATCACATTTCTAATTTCTGTGCATCTACCATTTTTTTTTTAAACTCTGCATCGCCCTAAGGTCGACTGGTAGAAAATGCCTACGGCATTAAGTCCGCCTGTGTCACATTTGTGCATAAAGTATAAATAAAATAAAAAAATA